TCTGTCCCCTGATGGGCAGGGGCAGGGGGGAAACCTGGGGACCGGTTCAGCCAGGCCACGTGGTGCCCAAGTCCTGGGCAGGATCCGCGCTTCTCCCTGAAAAAGCATCACAACCATCGTTAAAACAGCAGTCAGGGCAGCTACTCAGACCTTGGGTTTGGGGCCAGTTGGACTGATTTCTGGTCAATAGTAGAATCAGTGTATCAGTTTGCACAGACGTGTGCACGTGCATATGCCTGTGCATGTGCACCCAGAGCTTTTGAAACGATTGCTGAGATTCCTTTGACTCTATACGCTGGTTGGGGAGCTAGGACAGACATCTCTACCATATTCAGTCTCCCCATTCATGAGCACGCTATCTTCAGTGAGACCCATGACGATGCACTTGACTGACATCCTGTCATTTGGAGAGTACAGGGCTTGCAGATATTTCATTCATTTACTCCCATGTTTGGATATCATTTTGCACTGCCTCGCTAAGTAAGCATGGTCTCCGTGTTCTATTTGCTTGATTCACAGGAATGACTTGGTTCCTCTGTACTAACTGTGAGGTTACTAAGGGTGTTAGTCTGGGTAGACTAGAGAAACAAATCCATAGGAACTCATAAGTGTATAAGAAAGAGTTTTATATAAAGGGTAATTGTACATTAAGAAAGCATCCCAATCCAGCCAGGTCCAAGCCCATAAATCCAATATTAACCCCTATGTCTGATACCAATCTATAAAGTCCTCTTCAGACTCACGAATCACATGCAATGACGCCGAATGCAGGACGATCACAAGCCAGTGCGTAGAAAGTCTGGATCCAGTGGCGTTGTGAGCATCTCAGCGCTTGCAGGGGTCTCTGCGTGGCTTCTCCGGCTCCAGAGGTCTGGTTGCCTCAGGGTAGGGCCATGTGGCTTCCCCAGCTCCCAGGGCGTAGTGCCACGTGTCTTGTCAGTAGAGCATCCTTCAGGGAGTGGGCCGAGCAAGTCTCTTGACTTTCTGGTTGGCTGAGGTTTTTGATCATGGAAGTTTTAGACGCCTTTTCTGCACCCCTCCCAGTGTCACTATGTTTCCTTCTTCCATTTTTTTCCTTGTAAATACGGTAAATTTAATGTGTATACTCATGTATACGCTGATTTTTTTTTACCACATTTTGAA